TGTGTTCTGGCTACTGTTTATGTCAACTTGACACAAGCCAGGTTCATTTTGGAAAAGGGAACCTCAAGGGAGAAAATTCCCCTACCACGTTGGCCTGTGAGCCGTCTGATGAATTTTCTTTATTGATGGTGGAGGGCCCAGCTCACTGTGGGTGGGCCTAGAAGGACTCTAAGGAAGCAGGATGAGCGAGCCAGTGAGCAACACTCCATGGCCTGTGCTTTCAATTCCCACTTCCAGGATCATTGTCTACCTGAGTTCCTGTCTGACTTCCCTCATCCATAGACCGTCATCCAAAAACATAAGACAAAATAAACCCTTTCCTCCCTAAGCCGCTTTTGCTCATGATGTTTTCTCGGAGCAGTAGAAACTAAAACACTGTTACATAGTAAGTTTGGGCGGCCTAGGTCTCAAAAATAATAATAATAACAGTTTTTTAAGATGATAGTGAAGTGCCAGGCGTTGGTGGCGCACGCCTTTAATCCCAGCACTTGGGAGGCAGAGGCAGTCGGATCTCTGTGAGTTCGAGGCCAGCCTGGTCTACAGAGCGAGTTCCAGGACAGCCTCCAAAACAATACAGAGAAACCCTGTCTCGAAAAGCAAAAAAAACAAACAAAAAAAAAGATGTTAGTGAAGTATTACCCTAGGGCTCACACTGTCTCTAACACCCCACGTTTCTTTTTTTTTTTTAAGATTTATTTATTTATTACATATACACCAGATTGAATTGTAGATGGTTGTGAGCCACCATGTGGTTGCTGGGAATTGAACTCAAGACCTCTGGAAGAGCAGTCAGTGCTCTTAACCCATCTCTCCAGCCCCCACCCCCACGTTTCTTTATAGCCGGTTCTCACCTAAAGTCTGTTTTCGAACCTGAAACCTGAGATTTTTCAGACACAGACGCCCACACACATGGCCCTTAGATAACCCTTGGCAAAGAAAGGGGCTCAGCTGCCATCCCATTTCTGACATCCGTTCTTGTAGACGCCCAGACTGAAACAAATCTTTGACCTTTAGCTTGCACCAACAGATCCTTACTGTTCTGCATTTGAGCCCAGAGAGAAGTGCACTCAGCAGACCTCTGAGGGTAACCAATGCCTTGGCTGCAGGAGAGATGCAGCATTACAGAGCCGTCCAACAGGCCACAGACTCTGGACTCAGCGTGTTCGGAGTCGGTCTTGACCACTGTAGCTCACTGGTTTTGTGACCTTGAGCATTTCACCCAGCCCGCCCACCCTTCTGCTTGTATAACTCCAGAGACAATCTGACCGCTCTACTGGACACGGCTCTCACACTGTGACCTCACTGCTCACCTGAAGTGCCTCGTGGGGCTGGCGCTCACCTGAAGTGCCTCGTGGGGCTGGCGCCGGGGGATGTAGCTTAGGTAGAGCTCTTGCCTGCACGAATGGGGGCTTTGGTTCACTTCTCAGTGGTGATGGGGAAAGACGGACGTTAACTAGAAACCCACGTGGACACCGTTCATTGTGTCCACGGGGTTTATTTTCAAGGCCATCACTACAGAACTTCAGCTCACATAACCTGAGATCTAAATATGGGGGTTTCACATGAAAACAGTAACAGGCAAGAAGGAATGTCTTGCCAAACGAGCAAGCCACGTTCCATTTTCCCATGAATAGATTAGATTAATAAAAGTCTAGCATAAAAAGAATAGTTTAACATTCAGCACTCAAATCACTGAGTTGGCATGCCTGGATTTAAGTCCCAGTGCCGGCACCCACAGGTAGAGCACGAACTTCGTTTGATGGTACTTTGAGTTCTTCATACGTAAAATGGGCATGATATCATGACTCCGATTTATTGTGAAGATTAAATGAACTAAGAAACACATGAGGCACTTAGATTAGTGCCTGGACCCAAACGAGAGGTCGTAAGTGACCTGTCCTTTATTACTTATTACTTAACATCTCCAGGCTGTTGGCCAAAGCTCATTAGCTCTGCCTGCTGTGATTCAGCTTTGGTAGAGAGAGAGTTTTTTGGCAAAGCAGTACATGTGCATAATTTAAAAGGTCAAAGGAGCCAAAAGGGACATGCAGAAACAGCATGTCTGCTGACCTCTTGCCCCCACCCCTTATCTCTTTCACAGCCAGCCTCTTGGGTCTGTCAGGCTGCCCCGCCTTCTTTTTTTTTTTTTTTTTTTTTTTTTTTTTTTTTTGGTTTTTCGAGACAGGGTTTCTCTGTGGCTTTGGAGGCTGTCCTGGAACTAGCTCTTGTAGACCAGGCTGGCCTTGAACTCACAGAGATCCGCCTGCCTCTGCCTCCCAAGTGCTGGGATTAAAGGCGTGCGCCACCAACGCCCGGCTGCCCCGCCTTCTTTATTCCGTGTATTTATCCAGACTCTGACAGCAGCTAGACTGGTCCTGCTTTTAAACCCCACCCCCTTTCTCCTCATGACTCTCAAATAGCAGTGCGTACAAGTTTATTATGTAAAATCATAAAAAGATGCTGGCACCTTTAAACGTGATTGACGGGATGCCTACGGAGACTGTTGCACATGTGGAGGAACTATAGAAGCCACATAACCCAAGCCCAGGCCCATAAGACAATAGGAAGGTGTTATCAAGGGAAGACTCCAAGAGGTGAGGCCCAGTCTGCTGTGCCCTCTCAGGGAGGAGGCCCATCACTCTCCAGACTCCCAGAGCATGGGATGTGTGTGTGTGTGTGTGTGTGTGTGTGTGTGTGTGTGTGTGTGTGTGTGTGTGTGTGTGTGTTTGCTTCCACACCCTAGAATGTTATGAAAGGGGGGGAGATACCAACACCACAGCCGGTCAGGGCACTTCTCAATCCCTAGCTAGCCTCCCAGTTTGAATGAGCTTTTTTTTTCCAGAGTGAAAACATGGACTAAGGAACAGTGAGAGAGAATGGAGAGTCAGGCTAGCTTCTAAGGAGCCACCTAGGGAAGAGGACCGTGTCTACACAATCCCCACAAGCTAGTTGTCCTAAGTTACTGATATCCAAGCTCTTAGAGGCTCCGGTGGTAGAGTGCTTGCCTAGCAGGCAGGAAGCCCTGGGTTCACTCTCCACCACCACACAAACCATAAACTGGGCACGGTGGTGCACAGCTGTAATCACAGCACTTTGGAGGCAAAGGCAAGAGGCTCAGGAGACATCCTCGGTCACATAGCAAGTTACATAGGCCAGCCTGGGATACTTGGAACCAATTTAAAAAAACAACTAACCCTCTAACTAGCCCAGTGGTTTTGGTTTTGGTTTTGTTGGGTTTTTGTTGTTGTTGTTATTTGGGTTTGTTTTTGTTTTTGTTTTTTTGAGACAGGGTTTCTCTGTGCAGCTTTGGAGCCTGTCCTGGAACTAGGTCTATAGACCAGGTTAGCCTCAAACTCACAGAGATCCTCCTGCCTCCTGCCTCCTGCCTCCTGCCTCCTGCCTCCTGCCTCCTGCCTCCTGCCTCCTGCCTCCTGCCTCTGCCTCCCGAGTGCTGGGATTAAAGATGTGTGCCACCACGGCCCAGCTGCATTTATTATTCTTAATACTGAATTGTGCAAAACACTAGGCAGAATGCAACCTGTGAGAGCTGATCTGTCCTACCATGTAGGATCCAGAGATCAAATTCAGCCAGGATTCCAGGCTTGGTGGCAAGCTCCTTTACCCACTGAGCCATCTTGCTGGTCCTGAATGTGCATTTTTTAATGTAGAAGTATATCTTGACTGGTATGGGAGGGTGTGTTTAGCATGCACACAAGTCCTGCTTCAATCTCTTCCATGCACATTGTAGTTACAGATTTCAACTCTAGGTTTTTATTTTTATTTTCATTTTTGTTTTTTTTAAAGACATGGTTTCTCTGTGTAACAGTCCAGGCTGTCCTGGAACTCACTCTGTCAACAGGCTGGCCTTGAACTCACAGTTTCACCTGCTTCTACTTCTTGAGTGCTTCGATTAAAGACATAGGCAATCACACCTGGCTTTCAACTGTAGTTTTAAAAAAAATGTAACAGGGCTGCAGAGATGTCCTCTTCTGGCATGGAGTCATACATGTAGGCAGCATCCTGTATACATACTAAATAAATCTCTTTTTTAAAAAATGTACAAGCAGCAGGGCATGGCAATGCACACCTTTGATCCCAGCACTCAGGAGGCAGAGGCAGGCGGATCTCTGTGAGTTCAAGGCCAGCCTGGTCTACAGATCGAGTTCCAGGACAGCCTCCAAAACAATACAGAGAAACCCTGTCTCAAAAAACAAAACAAAAAAAACCAAAAAAAAAAGTGTTAGACAAGTGTGTAGTTGCTTTTCAGGAACAGCAAACTGTGTGTTCAGAACAGTCTTTGGGAGCCTATCTCCAGCCTCAGGACGGGGCTTTCCTAGTCCCTTGCCTGGAATGAAGTCTGTGAGGACTGCAGGGCCAGCCTCACCAGCAGCGACTTCCCTGCACTTTGTGCTGCCGCCCTGACAAGCAGGCTGAGGACAGAAGAGGAGCTGGTAATTGAAAATTAGCTGGAAGCTTGGTTCTCAGCCTCAGAGACCGCAGCTGCCACACCCAGAGTCAAGCCACCCCTGACAAGGCAGCAACAGGTGGTAGACAATGGTGTCAAAGGTCTCCGAGCTCTGAGTGTAGACTCCTGAGAGCCGTCTGAGAAGTGTGTACAGTGTTGATTCCACGCAGCTAAAAAGGATGTGAAAGGCGGACTAACATTGATTGAACACTTACGAGGTGCTGCAACCTTTACATTTAAACCTCACAACTTACAAAATGTCATTCTCATTCAATACTGACTCTACAAAACCAAGTAACTTGATAAATTCTCCCAGGGAATGGCAGAGCCAGGAATCCAACCCAGAACTTCATCAGTCCAGAGTATGGAGCGAAACCGAGACGTGTCCCTCACTCTCCTTGCTGCGTGGACAGTGTATGACTGTCATTCTAATCAGAGGTGATTGCAAGCATGAGGGAAGCCACAGCCTGTTCTGCAGAAATAAATGCCATAAACCCTCGTGCATTTACATCGTAGATAGATTAGGGATGCCATAAAAAAAAAAAAAAAAAGGAAACAGGAAGCTCCTCCCTCAGCCAGCCCAAACCTGTACTTTAGTTATAATCCGTTCCTCCTTAAGGAGAAAAGATGGGGAGGGCAGGCTCTGGGGCAGCCCTTGCCCGAGCAAGCAGTTGGAACAAACCTTGGTGCAGGACCAAGAACTCTGAGCTTTGCAGAGGTGGGAAACTGTTAGCCTGAGCTACACAGTAGTAAATTCTGAGCCAGCCTAGGCTACGGAGTAAGATCTCTCTCTCTCTCTCTCTCTCTCTCTCTCTCTCTCTCTCTCTCTCTCTCTCTCTCTCTCTCTCTCTCTCTCGGTTTTTCGAGACAGAGTTTCTCTGTATTGCTTTGGAGGTTGTCCTGGAGCTTGCTCTGTAGACCAGGCTGGCCTTGAACTCACAGAGATCTGCCTGCCTCTGCCTCCTGAGTGCTGGGATTAAAGGCATACGCCACCAACGCCCGGCAAGATTTATCTCTTGAGTAAATAATGAATAACTAAAATTCAGAGCATCACTGGTAATCCAAAGTAGGTAAACTTTAGAAAGGTGAGCCATGCCTTCTGCTCCAACCCATTTCCTACAGGAATCATCCTGCCCCAGGGTTTTCCTTAAATGTAACCAGGTCAGGCTTGGAGGTGCACACTTTTAATTCCAGCACTTGCAATCTCTATGATTTCTAAGTCAGCCCGATCTACATAGCGAGTTCCAGGCCAGCCAAAGCTACACGGTGAGACCTTGTCTCAAAAACACCCCCGCCCCAGTCCTGCATCCCACCCTGGGCCCTGTATCACCGTGTCCCCCATCACCCGTGGGCCCCGCATCGCCCCCCATCACCCGTGGTCCCTGAATAGCCCCTGGGTCCCGCACCCTGCACCTTGTCCATTGAACTTGATGACGCAGCATTGCTGGCAGGAGCTGTCCCTCATGGTCACCTGGGCCAGCACATTCCTGCCGTCCAGCTCAATGAGTGGCCTCCAGGCAGCTGCACCTCCAGTCAGCCTCATTGACTTTTCTGCTCCATTAGATTTCTGAGAGGCTCTTCAGGGAGGCCTGGTTGTTCACTTGGGAGCTGGCAAGAAGTATTGTCTCTGCTCGGGAGTTTCGTTTTTTACCTTTCGAGGGGTTTTAGTTTGGCTTTCTTTTTTTTCTTGTCATTGTTTTTGTTTTATTCCTCATAGAACCCAGTTTGGCTCAGACTGACTGTGTAGCTAAGAATGACGTCTACCTCCTCCTGCCTCCACGTCCCCAGTGCTGGAGTTACAGGTATGAGTGGCCCAGTTTGTACGCTGCTGAGGGACTGAAACTCGGCCTTGTGCTTGCTAAGTGGGTGCTCAGACTGGAGCGACATCTACTGCCCTGTCCCTGCTCTTATTAGAGGCCTGGCCTCCAGAGAGGACACACGACAAGATCACATGGATTTCATGTTTCTGAAACCTGGCTCCAGCACACCTGACTGTGTCACTTTACCTGAGATTCTAACTCTGTAAAACAGGATGACGTTCCCTGTTCAACAGAATAACTGTAAGAAATAAATTATATAATGCGTTTAAGAGGATCGTTGCATATGAATGTACAGTAAGTGTGAGGGATTGTTATTTAAAATCTTTTTTATTCATTTATTTATTTATTGTTTTTGTTTTTTCAAGACAGGGTTTCTTTATATTGTTTTGGAGGCTGGCCTGGAACTCGCTCTGTAGACTAGGCTGGCCTGGAACTCACAGAGATCCACCTGCCTCTGCCTCCCGAGTGCTGGGATTAAAGGCGTGCGCTACCAATGCCCGGCTTTTTTCTTTATTTTTGAGACAAGGTTTCTCTGTGTAACAGCTTCTCACTCTGTAAACCAGGCTGACCTCGAACTCAATAGAGATCTGCCTGTCCCTCCCGAGTGCTGAGATTAAAGGCATGTTCCTCCACAACCGACAAAAATCTTTTCTTAATTTTTATTTAATCTATTGTGTGTGTCCATGCTTGTGGGTGTGCAAGCTCAGGCAGAAGTATGTAGACGTCAGAGAGCAACTTCTGTTTGTTTTTTTAAGATGCTTATTTTCCTGTGTGTATGGGTGTGTTGTCTGCAGGTATATATGCCATGTATGTACAGTGCCCACAGAGATCAGAAAAAGAGGACATTTGATCTCTTGGAACTTAACTCAGTTAAGACAGTTGTGGGTGCTGGGAATCAAACCTGGGTCCTCTGGAAGAACAGCCAGTGCTCTTGGGACCTCTTGCTCCTGTCACCTTGTGGGAGCTGATCCGGGACTCAAATTGAGGGCATCGGGTGTTGGAGCAGTACTCTACCCACTGAGCTGTCTCGCTGGCCCTGTTGTTGCAATTCTCACAAAGAACGGGCCCATGAGGTTCGGCGTCCTAGTATGATGTGAACCCCTGGGAGGAAGCTGTTTCTGCAGAGAGTGACTGACAGCACTGCAGTACTTGGAGAGGCTGCAATGTTGCTGGTCCAAGAGGTTCGTTAGGCTACTTTTAGACCTCCTGTCCCACCTCTGTGTCGGAACTGACATCCTGAGGGTGATAGCTTCCACAAACCAGGTCTAGAGAAAAACTGCCCTGTTTCTCTGTACCTGCCTCTCTGGTAAAACCACCAATGAACTTTAAACTCGCCTTGATTTATGATTTTAATTGTTCTGTAAGACTATAAAACTTCTATGCCGGGTGTTGGTGGCGCATGCCTCTAATCCCAGCACTCGGGAGGCAGAGGCAGGTGGATCTCAGTGAGTTCAAGAACAGCCTGGTCTACAAGAGCGAGTTCCAAGACAGTCTCCAAAGCCACAGAGAAACCCTGTCTCGAAACCCCCCCCAAAAAAGAAAAAAGAACAATAAAAAATAATTTCAAGCTATGTATGGTGATGCATGCCTGTGTTCCTAGCCCGAGGATCCTGCGACAGATTCCACAGATTCTTGGGGATTAAAGAATTTATAACAAGATTTATTAATGCCATGTTTAGACAGAGGGTCAAAGCATCATGGGGGCTCTGAGGAGCGTTCAGGTCCCAGCGTCAGTGATAGACATCATGGCATGGTCTCTAAAGAGGAGCTTCCTCTAGTCCTTTCTGAGAGCAGGGAGGCTCATAGCTTGAGCCTTTAGTCAGGCTTCATGATACCCAGAAGTAACGTGAGTGTAAGCCTACATCTTAGCATCAGTACCCTTTGATGTCAAGTCACTTTCTGGGTGAGAAGTTCCATCTGCAGTGTCCCAGTTGGTGCCTGTCAATAGCTTAGGCCTGGAGGACCAATGTAAAGCAATGGCTAGAGTCTAACACTGAGTTCTTACATTGGAAGGTGGGGGCAGGGGCATCAGGAGTCCAAGGACATAGCAAAGCCCTGTCTCAAAAACACATACAAATAAAATAAAAATCATTCAAAGCAGCTCAAACCCATGGTTTTCACTACAAAGAGAAGCCCCATGCTTCTGAGACCCCTCCTCCTCTGAGATGATCCCCAGCCCCTTATTATGTCAATTAACAGCCGGAGAGACCCAAATCCTCCCCCCTGCTGTTCTCTCCAGTCTCTAATCCCGCTTTCAGCATCACAGAACTACCAAAGCGCAAATCAAACAAAGACCCAACTTCCCCCTGAGGGAATGGGAAAGAAGCTGAGGCAGAAAAGAAGGCATGCCCCGGAAGCCGGGAGCTGTGACTTTCTGGTTCTACAGTGACTGGATGGGAAAGGTTCAGACCCATCTTCTGCCTCCTCCAAGGCTGGAAGCCAAGGAGACCGGCAGCCAGGCCCAGAAGGAATCCAGGCTCCTCAAGCTCCTGTTCAGCTGTGTTCTACCTTTTCACCCCGACTCCCTCGAGGAGTTCATCTGCCAACTAGGGTGCAGATTGGCTTGGCCTGACCCCCCACACCAGCCCCTGCTCCCTGTTGCCCTCTCTCTCTCTCTCTTTCTCTCTCTCCCCCTCCCCTACTGATCTCTCCCTTCCTCCTTCCCCCCACCTCCCTCCCTTCCCTGCTGATCCCCCCCTTCCCTCCCTCCCCTGCTGACCACTCTCTCCGGAGTCTTTAATTCCACACTGATTAGCAGGCCAGCTGAGAATCTGGCACAATCTACAGCCCAGGGGCCTTCCGATGGGATGGAGAAGGGAAAATTCCGGATTGCGGCCTGAGTTTTGCAGACCGTCTTCTATCATCCCCATTTCCACATCCAGGGAGCAAAGTCTAAAGCCAACTAACAAAGTGGGATTTTAACTTTCACCCACTGCCCTAAAAAAAGCTTAAACATTAGCCGGGCGTTGGTGGCGCACGCCTTTAATCCCAGCACTCCGGAGGCAGAGGCAGGTGGATCTCTGTGAGTTCGAGACCAGCCTGGACTACCAAGCGAGTTCCAGGACAGCCTCCAAAGCCACAGAGAAACCCTGTCTCGAAAAACAAAAACAAACAAACAAAAAACAAAACAAAAAGCTTAAACACTGGAGCCTATGGGTAACCTACCAAGAGAAATCAATCAGTTGGGCCAACTCCAAGAAAAGAGGCAGTTGCTAACCTTCCTGTTTCGAACCTTCGTCAAACAACTTTGAGGTCTTCAAGGCAAGCCAGTTGAGTGGGCTCCTTAAATACTGGTTCATGTATTGGTAGGGTGTGTGGGCTTGGGGCCATAGCCAATCTTGGGGTCTACAAGGAAGCTTTATGAATGTGCAAGCACTTGATCCAGGCAGGCTGGCAAGAAGCTGGGAGCCCTAGTTGCCATGGAGATGCTGGCACAGCTAGGGCCCATCTGCAGCCTCTTTAAGAAGGGGGGGATTTGGTGCTATAGAGCCAGCTCAGTTTGGGGCCAAGGGACCTGGGGAGGTAGCCTCTAGGACTGCAGCCTTAAGAGCTGGGGAGTGGCCTCCTGTAGAGCAAATCCTCAATGTCCAGTTGCCACTCCTACCACTAAGCAAGGGCTGCTACAGGAGACCGGATACAGTGGAAAAACCCAGAAGCCAGACACTGGCAGCAGAGCCACACCCTAAGGCCAGGGAGAAGCCCGGGCTTGCAGATACACAAGGAAGCCCAAGTCTGAGTCTGAGAGTCTGGTCTCCGAATCACCACCGCTGACCAGAGCACTTCCCTTCTCTGCCCCCGCTCCCCGAATTAATAATGTCCTCTCTGGGGACCAAGTGAAGCAGAGCCACCTGTCCTTCTGATTCAATAAGTACAGATGTGTCCAGGCTACAAAGACCTCTGGATGCGTGTGTCTCAGGACTGCTGCTGGGGGATGAGGGAACCTTCGGATGCCCTTGGTTGTAGCCTGATGTTACAAGTGTTTGCACCAAAGGCAGGGCTTGGCCTTGTACCCACGTGGGTCATGCAAGATTAAGGAGGTGCCAGCAGAGGGAAGCTGACTAAAATGACCTCAAAGTACCCTTGTGGCCTGGTGAGCTGCCTGGACCTTCCTGCCACCGCCCTGCACGATTCTGCTGGGCAGGACCGGGGTCACCTTTGCCCTTGGATATCTAGAGAGCAAAGGGCGACTGTCTCCCTACTATCCTCCCAGGCTGCCAGGCGGGAGAGTCCAGGGAGTGACGCTGGCCAAGGAAAGCTAGTATACAAGTAGTATACAAGTTTGAGATGCATGTGGTGGTTCCAAGTTGTGAGTTGTGTAATCTGAAACTGTGAAATACTTTGTGCTTTGGTAATTTTTTTTTTTTTTTTTTTTGGTTTTTCGAGACAGGGTTTCTCTGTGGCTTTGGAGGCTGTCCTGGAACTAGCTCTTGTAGACCAGGCTGGTCTCGAACTCACAGAGATCCACCTGCCTCTGCCTCCGGAGTGCTGGGATTAAAGGCGTGCGCCACCACCACCCAGCTGTGCTTTGGTAATGTTATCAGTAAAATGTTCACATTCCTATTCTGGTTTTAGAAGGTCTCCGAATTAGGGTCAAAATGCCTTGACAGTGGATAGGGGGTGCCATGGACGAGATGCAGCTGGTAGAGAGTGCCTCCAGACATACTCAAAGGCCAGTGGTTCGTCGACAGTACTGCGTAAATGCTGGTGCACACCTGCAGTCCTAGCACTTACAATGTGGAGACCATCCGTGGTTACATGAGTGAGTTCAAGGCCAACCTGGGATAAATGAGACCCTGTCTCAGTACAAAACATAAACAAGTAAGAACGTGTGGGAAAACCATCACAAGCCACTCACAAGTAAAGGACCCAGTAAACCTAATGTGATTACAGGCAGAGCCTTCTTTTCCACAAGCTGTCAGCCCCACCACAGTCACAGGTCTCTGATGTAGGCATCAGGGGCTTCCCTTTAGGCCTCGAAGCAGAACCAGAGCCCCTTGCCCCCTTAAAAAAGGTTAGACTGCCTGCCAGGTCAGGAGACCTCTGAGCACGCTGGAGGAACAGGGTCTGGAGCCTCACCTAGCCAGCTAGAACCTGCTTTCTGAGATGTGGCCACATACATGTTGTGTAAACAGTTTAAAGGAAAAGCAGCCAGCAGCCTCACAGCTCAGTCCTTGTCCCTTCCCCTTTCAGCCCCAGGAAATGACAAATAGACCTCCAGGACGGTATTCATACTGTTAATTGGATTGGTTCCACCCGGTATTTCTCA